CAATTCTCTTTCCAGTGTCTTTTGCAGAGTGAAAGTTTTGTTTTGGTGAAGTCTAATTTATCACTTATTAAAAAATGAATCCTATCAGTACTTTAGATATTGTGCCTAAAATCTCACTGTCTTATGCTGGATCAGGAACACTTTATTCTATGTTTTATTACATATATTTTATAGTTTCATGCTTTACACTTAGATATCTTTATTTTTTGGTATAAGGTGTGAGATTTAAGTCAAGGTTCTTTTTGAAGGGGTGGCTGAGGGGAATATAGATATCCGGTTGTTCTAACATCAGTTTTTGGAATGACTACTCTTTTTTCAGTTAATTGCTTCTGCATTTTTGTTAAAAAAATCAATTGGCCATATTTGTGTGAGCCTATTTCTGGACTCTTTAATCTATGTGTACCTTTGCCAATGCCACATTATATTGGGTATAGTCATTTTAATAGTAAACCTTAAAATAGGATGATTCCTCAAGCTTTCACAATTGTTTTAGCTATTATAGATCCTTTGCCATTCAGAATAAATTTTAGGACCAGTTTATATCTACGAAAAGCTCTGTTGGGATATTAAAACTGTATTAAACCTAAAGATCAACAGGCAAAGTTAACATCATTTACTATGCTGAACTTCCCAATCCATGAACACAGTATACCTCTCCATTTCTTCAGGTCTTCTTTATTTCATCAGCATTTATGATTTGAAGCATACAGATCATGTACCTGTTTTGGTAGACTTATATCTGAACATTTAATTTTGGGGGAGCCATTATAAATGGTGTTAAACAATTAAGTTTTCATTTGATAAACTTCATTTGGAAACTGTATTTCCAGTACCTGGAAATACAGTTGATTTTTTTCCCTGTTGACTCTGTATCTGATAGCCTTTCTAAACAACCATGTTTTAGTTCCACAATATTTTTATAGATTCCTTGGAATTTTCTATGTACGCAATTGTTATTTGCAAATAGGGATTTTTCTTTCTTTCTAACCAATTGTGTTTTACACATCTTCTTGGGGTTAATGATAGTACCTACTACTACTAAGAAGGCTAATAAGAAAAAGTATGAACAACCTAATACCTGGCACATAGCAAATATTCATTAAATATTAAGTAACTACCTGGTCGGAGCTGTTCCAGGAATATAATTTGGTTGCAGTGTTTAAATGATATAGATAGGCACATGGCTTTCCTTTTAAAACAGAATCTGAGTCTTCCAAGGCTTGTGCCAAGAATATTTCAGGAAGCAGAAGCTCTAGGTGGGATGACATGTCTCTGAAATTGAATTAATACACTTTAGTGGCTACTCTAACTGAAGGTCAGGGAAGAGGGAGTTGTGATTGCATTACTGTTTTCTATATTCCAGTATTCCCATACACTGGGCTATTTTTAAGCACCAAAATTCAGGTAATACATTATTTTAGACATTGATCATCAGCTTCACTTACTCTCCTTCTCTCTCTTCAAACCGTCCTTTCTTCTGCTGTCCAAACAGCCTCCTCATCACTACCAGTACAAGCCCTCCCATCCAGCCAGTTCCAGAAATTCCCTATTCCTTCCAAATGCCTTTACCCTCCACTGTATCCTCTTAAACACTGAGCAAGGACTAGGCAGAAGTAGGGAATCTTCCTATGGGGGTGGAGAAGGGTCAGACCAGCTAGGGCCAACTCTCATGGGATCACATGAGAAATCATTTATAATCAGAGTAGTAGTCCTAGAAACGCCACAGGG